TTATAAAAATCTGAGACTTGGGAGCCAAACTGCACCATTTCTTACAAAGGGAAATAGTTCCAACAAGTTCAGTGATATCTGGACACCATGAACCTACCAGAGAGGCCAGACTAGTCAAACCTTTCAACTAGTCTTAGTGTCCTTCTTGTTAGATCTCACTGTCTCTACTTTCTTTATTCCCATTTATGTTTAATTTCCCTTTTAATATACTTTTCCACCTGTCCCCACTACTTAAAAAGTTTCAGAAACAATAACAAATTTCTTAGTGTTTTCTCTGAGGGTCTGGTTTGGGAAAGAGGTAAGAGACCAGTAAAGATGGATTAGGCCCAACAGCCATAAATCTTTGCCTTCTGCACAAATATTTACATCAGTTCTCTGCAAATAAATAATCCTACCATCAGAATTTCCACCAAAGGCAAAAAATTATTTAAAAAATTAGAAGCCATAAAAACATGGATCATAAGAATTAAAAGAGTACTGTATCTTTATCTTAAAATTAGTTTCTACTTCCTAAAATACATTCAGGTTATCAGAAATCTTAATGAAAAATTGAACCAAGCCCAGTTCTCCTTATATGCACTTTAGAGGTTCTTTCTAAAAATATCTTTTATATAGCTTAATTCAATAACTACACAACTTCCCACAGGCTTTTATATATACCTGAAGCAGAAATATTTGTATCAATAAGTTAAAAAAAAGGGGGGGGGGACAAAAACTCACCACACAACAAGTTGGACATTGAGTTTTATAAGACAGAAATTTTCTTATGCAGAGAGAACAGTCTGCAAAAACACAAAATGCATAAGTTAATTAAGCTATACTAATAATATAGAATTGGACTTCTAACAAAATCTGACTCAAGCTGCAGAATATTTCCATCACCTAAGGTATATCATTACATCATTATAATCTTAAATTTCTAGTACCTCTACTTTATGCACATTTACACATGTAATTAAACAGCATTTTTAGGAAAGGGAAACAAATCAAATGTAATGAGTCTCTCAGAAGTCACAACTCCATAAGCAACATACATCACTTTCTGTGTCCTGCATCTATAAAACATAGGAAACACACATGCAAGACCTGGGCTGGTTATTATATAAACGTGCCAGATACCTCTACTACTTACCATTTGAAAATATAAGTTTTGAAATAAGATGTATACATGTCAAGAAATAATATATACCCAGGTTAACAATTTAGAGACTTCTACATCCTAACTCTGTAAATGATGTCCACCACCCCACATTTAACAAGCACTTTTGTGATGGACACTAAGAGAAGAACAGTATATAAGGGAAACTATCAAAGTAGTAAGGCAATTACAGAACAATTCAGTGTAATAAGTTCTAATGATTTAAGCAGGAAATAGGCAAAAACTAAATTCGCCACACTCAAGGCAGTGTAAAATGTTCTCCCAGTCAAAGAAAAAGCAGACGTGACTAAGAAAATGGTACCTTTTTGGTAGCTAATTTACTAGTAGCCCAAATTCAGCTGAGTTAAGGGACCTCATTAAGAAAAATTCAGTTTAGCTGAGGAGGAAAAGATGCTAGTATGATTTCAGTGGTATACATATCCAGGCAATAAGTCTTGCCAGCCTCAGTAACATTACCCCAGGAGGAAAAATGAAGAATCACATTATAAAAAGGATAAAACAGGCAACAGTTTAAATTCTTCTGAGAAGCAAAGAGGAGTAGAGGGGACTGATCTGATTCAGCAATGGAAAGGGCTTGGAAATTGCCCCTCTGTCCTAACAAGTAAAAAGCTAGACAAACTGAAATATCAACAAGTCTTCTCAGATACATCAGAAAAGTGAGGTCATGAGACAACTGCTGCCCCCAAACTGCAGAGACACACAGGTATAAACACAACTTACCAGAGCTAAAACCTCCATGGGAACCAGAGAAGAAACCTGTGCTGGAACTAGTGCCAGAGTAGGAAAACCTGAACCATCATTGACAAATTGCTGGAGGCTCAGTGTGGACAAGTCTGAAAGTTAAAAACTTCAGGGGGGCCCTGTCATGGGAGGTCTTCACACTTTTCTCCGGGAGTTCTACCAGGTTCTCAAAGTGAGTTTTGGAGAAAAAGCTCCTAGTTCTTTCAGGAAGGGGGAGGAAAAAAGTAACCATTTTGAAATAAGTCAGAGCACTCCGTTTTTGACAAGGCCTGCCCTCCGGAAAAACTATTTTACGAGAGCCTAACTTGTTGGAGTTTTAACTGGGCCCAGCTGATCTGAGAACAGGGAAATAGACAACTCCAATCCTCTCTAAAGAGGGAGAAACTGAGAAGCATTTGTGAAGTTCACAGCCTGGGAGTAGGGCTCACTAAAAGACTGAGACCTCAGCTGGTCAGCTCAGTTGGTTACAGCACGGTGTTGGTAGCACCAAGGTCAAGGGTTCAGAGCCCCATCCCAGCCAGCCGCCAAAAAATAAATAAATAAACTGAGAACACTTCCTCCCTCCCACACCTTACCACCACAACGTTAAAGGCCTATTTACTGCTGTTCCTTTTACCCAGTACATCATTTCCAGCTACTAAGAAAAAATTGCAAGGTATACTAAAAGACAACACAATTTGAAAAAACTGAGCGAGCACCAGAACCAGAGTCAGATATAGCAAGGATGTTGGAAGTATCAGACCAGGAATTTTAAAGAATATTATTAATATGCTAAGGGCTCTAATGGAAAAACTAGAAAACATGCAAGAACAGATAAACAGAGAGGTGGAAATTTTAAGAAAGAATCAAAAAGAAATGCCAGAATTCAAAAAACACTATAACAGAAATGAAGAATGCCTTTGATGGGCTCATTAATAGATTGGACATGGTTGAAGAAAAAAATCTGAGCTTGAGAATATGTCAATAGAAATCTCCAAAACTGAGAAGCAAAGAGATACAAGAATGGAAAAATGGAAGAAAATATCCAGGAACTGTGGGACAGCTATAAAAGATGTAACATACATATAATTGGAATACCAGAAGGAAAAGAAAGAGTGAAAGGAACAAATATTTGAAGCAATAATGACTGAGAATTTCTCCAGATTAATGTTAGACACACAACCACTCATCCACAAAGGATAAATGCAAAAAATAAATAAATAAATAAAAATAAATAAAAATCCTATATCTTAGCATATCATATTCAAACTACAGAATATCAAAGATAAAGAAAAAAATCCTGAAAAAAAACAAGAATTACATCTGATTTCTCACAAACCATAAGAGCAAGTAAAGAGTGCTGTGTGGCTGGTTAGCTCACTTGGAAGAGCATATGCTCATAAAACCAAGGTCACAGATTCGGATCCCCATACTGGCCAGGGGCAAAAGAAAAAAATAAGAGTGCAGTGAAATATTTAAAGTGTGGAGAGAAAAACACCACCAACCTAGAACTCTAAATCCTACAAAATTATCCTTCATAAGTGAAAGAGAAATAAAGGCTTTCTCAGACAAATGAAAATTAAGGGAATCTGTTGCCAGTAGACCTGCCCTGTACAAAATGCTGAAAGAAGTTCTTCAGAGAGAAGGAAAATGATTTAGGTCAGAAACTCAGATCTACACAAAGGAATAAATAAAAGTAAAATAAAAACTTTAATTTTTCTTATTAATCTAACAGATAAGTTTATAAAAAATAATAAAAGCAACAAAGTATTCAATTATGCATGTCTATGTGAATGTGTATATATATGTATATATATACATAAGCATGTGATTCAATTATGCATGTCTATGTGCATGTGTATATATGTATATATATATACATAAGCATGTGTGTATATATATATATATATACATATATATATACACATGCTTATGTATAAGTAACGTGAATGACAGCAATGATACAAAGGCCTAGAGGGAGAAATTAGATGTCTTAGTCACCTTACACTGCCGTAACCAAATACTACAAACTGGGTAAGCAATCAGAAACAATAGAAATTTATTTAAATTTATTCTTAAACAACAGAAATTTACTTCCTCACAATTCTAGAGGCTAGAAGTCTAAGATCAGGGTTTTAGTATGTCAGTTTCTGGTGCTCTCTTCCTGGCTTATGTACAATCACCTTCTTGCTATGCCCTCACAGGGCAGGGTGGCAAGAGACTACAAGTTCTGGTATCTCTTTTTATAAGAGCACTAATCCCATCAAAAGGGCCCCACCCTCATGACCTCATCTAAACCTAATTGTCTCCCAAAGGCTTCATCTCCAAATACCAACACACTGGGGGTTAAGACTTCAACATATAAATTTTGTTGGGACACAATTCAGTCCATAGCATTCCACATCCCTGACCCCTCAAAATTCATGTCCTTCTCACATGCAAAATACTTTCATCCCATCCTAACAGCCTCAAAAGTCTTAACTTATTCTAGCACCAATTCTAAAGTCTAAAATCCAAAGTGTCATCTAAATATCACCTAAATCAGATATGGGTGAGACTCAAGGTAAGACTCCTCCTGAGGCAAAATTCCTCACCAGACTTACTCTCTTAATTATCAATGTTATTCTCTTTACACTGTAAGAAGTCTCCTGAACAATACGTAAGCCAAAAATTCCTAAACCTGGCTGCTCAGCTCAGTCACCTTGGGAGATTGCTGGTTTTAATTTAGTTTCCTAGGTCCTACACCCAGTCATACTGATTCAATGAATTTTGGTCAGTAAGTCACACCCATAATATGTGATTCTGATGCAACAACAATAATAATAACAATTATTTTTAAAAAATGAATTCAAGTTGTTGCTATTAGGTTGAACTATGAAATTATTTTTGGTACGTCAAAAAATTACAAATATTGGCAATTTCATGTGGTTCAACTTGACACTGTGCACTTACTGTGTTCTCTGTTCTAAGCACTTTACATGTATTAACTCTTTTGATCCTTACAGTAACCCTGTGGTTAGTACTAATATTAGCCCTATTTCAGAAGGAAAATGAAGTGCAGGGCTTAGTAAACCTGCCCAAGATCAAAGAGCTGATAGGTAGCAAAGGCAAGCACCAGAGTCCATGTTCTTGACAAATTAGGGTTTTAGTTATGAAAAGCTATTTATAAATATTTGTTTATAAAAAACATATACTTATATAAATAAATGATATTTAATTAATTAGGTCACACGTATCAGAGTATTTATAACAAGGCTACTGCTTCCTCTTCTACATAATCATGCTTGTGTTTTCTTTTCTTTTGAAATGTGGAGAACCAGATATGAAGTTCTAAGCAGACCAAGCCCGTGGCTTAATTTCAGTCTACTACCAAATATATACTGGTGAACTGCAGACCAGTGTAATTTATTCTCTAGTGTGCAACCATTATACTCAAGGCAGAACAGTTGAAGAATTCTGAATCCATGCTTCATTTAAATCACCTTGAAGTTTGTTTTTCCACCCCAGAGCCCAACTATGAGAAGTGAGGGCAGGGCAGGGGGAGGGTAGTATAACAGCAGTGAAGAGGATTTTAACAGAAACATCCAAGCCTTGTGATAGGGAGCATCTCTAATCTCAAACAGGATACAGCCATCGGCTGGCTTTCAAATATCAAAAGATCCTAGTATACTAGCAGTAAAAAGCAAATTTCTAAAACTTAAACCATTCCTCTTCATGTGCAATCTTAAGGATATTATGAGAAAAGAAGTTATTTAAAAAAATGTCTGAAGTGTTCAGTTAAAAGCAGAAATCCAGTTTCCAGTTTTAAAAGAATTAGAGGACCTAGAAAGCTGAGAAGGCTGGCCTTTTCCTCCAGTTCTAGTGTTAACTGACCAGCTAGCTGATAAGAGAATAGCATCCCTC